TTAACGCACGGAAGTCATAAATCGCGCATTCGGGTACATTGGATCTTTGATATTAACCAGAAAGCACTTCAGTGAAGAAGTTCTTGTTAGTGATATTAGTCGATTCAATCAACTTAACTGATTACATAATCAACTATAATTGGAATAGTTGAATTTAGTTGACTGCGCATATACTGTATATATATAATCGATAATATATTTATTAAAATTTTTTTCTATTATAAAACTAATGTTACGAAAAACTAAATAACTATTTTAAAGAGACGGTGGAAAAATATCAAAATATAACATATTATGTTTTAAAAATACTAAATAATTAACCAAATCTGGACTTAACCGATTTCGTTTTGTTGTTACATGATTTCCAGCATCTGAAAAAAGTCGTTCGCTAGGAACTGATGAAGCCGGGATTGCTAAATATTTTCTAGCAAGTTTTGACAATATAGGAAATTTTTGCTTATTTTCATTCCACCATTCTAAAGGATTGTTTTTTTCGATTTTAGGTAATTGTGATAATGTAAGATAATATTCAAATTCTTCTTGTTCGTTGTAGTTTTTTTCATCTTATGAATAAAAAAATGATTGCATTTTCAAATTTTTACTATAATTAGTTTGTGATATGTTAGAATTTAAAGAATTAGAAATTTTAAGTTCAGTATATTGTTCACGAAGATTATTAATAATTTGATTTCGTAATTCCTAAAAAAAAAAATAAGAATAAATAAGTATGTTTTTTTTTTGTTTTTTTTTTTACTTACAATATTAATAAAATCTAATTTTTTAAACCATTGGTCGAAAAAAGATCCATATAAACTTATAACTGAAAATGTATTCAAGTGTTCTTGAAGATTCTTGAGAATAATGTCCTTAATTTTTTGAATTCTATTATTTTAAACTATATAAGAATTCAATCATTGTTTGAGCTCTTCAATTGTAGGAGTTACAATACTTAGTGTTGGATATTTTGAATCTCCTAATATTTCAGTTGCTTTATTGAATGGTTTCAAAATAATGATAAGTTTATTACATATGTTAAATTCATCATTGGAAAGTAAGCTATCTTTTAATTTTTCACCATCTTTTCGAATATTTGAAATAACACTATTAAGAAGCGTACTGCAAAGATGATTGATAGATGGTTGTAATAATATTAAATGTTGAATAGCCCGAAAGATTGAATTCCAGCAGGTTTCAATATCTTTTATTACATCCAGTGGTTCTCTAATATCTGGATTTAATTGTTTTTGTATTTCTCTTAGTTGGCGTCATTTTTTTTTATTACTTAGCATATTAATCAATTTTTTTATTTTTGATATAATATCACTAATGTAATTAAGATCTAGATTAATGCTAAGTTGTAGTGTATGAGTGGTACACAGAATATTTGTTATTTGCATTTGTGATATTGCGGCTTTGACATTACTTCCATTATCACTAGTAATGCTAATAATATTTTTTTGAGCTAAATTAAATTTTTTAATTTGATGTTGTAATTTTTCAACAATTTCTATTGTGGTATGAGTCTCTGGAAAGTTAGTCATATCCAAAACAATATCATATAATTCAAATTTAGGTGAAATCCAGTGACAAGTAATTCCTAAATATGAATCATGTGCGCGAGATGTTCAGATATTCAATGTAAGTACAACATATTCTAAAGTTTCTTTAATCTTATTTTTAATAAGACCAACAATCCAATTATGTGTATCAAAAACTAATGTTTTTAATGTGTCGACACTAGGAACTTGATATTTTTTATCCATAAAATTACAAAAATCTTTAAATCCTTCTTGATTGATGATCGAAAGAGGTAATGTACAAGTAACAATTAAGCTTAAAGTTTTTTGAATAAAAAGTTATTGCTTAGTTTAATCGTATGGTTCAGGTAAGTTGTTTGTTCGAACGGTTTCAAGAATTTTTTCACTTGATTGAATATTTAAACTAGTTTTTGTTATATGATAAACATTTCGCAAATGTCTGATCATATTAGTTGTAGATCCGGACCAGATATAATTGGTTGAACATCCATCGAAAAGACATTTTACTTGTTTTGTAGCTGGTTCTCCATCTGAATAAAATTCAAAAAATTTTTTAGTAAAACTGTTTCTTGATTGTTTTAAAGATGAATTGATTTCTGTTGACATGTGTAAATTTTTTTGTATACATTTGAAAAACTAGAATTGAACTTATATATTTTGTTGATTTATATTTATAAAAGATTAACGACATAATAATTGTTAAGATATTATAATTGTTATGTATGTGTTATTGTTAATTAAAAAACAAAAGCTTAATCTTAC